TACTTTATATTCTTTATTCCTTTTAAGGAAAAAGCCAAGTCCCTGTCATTAAGGACACGATGGTCCATCTGGAAAGAGAATTATATTCAAAGTTGGGGATTTTACTGAAGTATTTAATACAGTTTACAACTGTATGCCAGGTGTGAACCTCCAAAAGAGCCATGCAGGTGCCCGTGAACAGCAGGTCAGCCCTGGTTGTATCATACACGTGCCGTGAGCACTCTATTGCATGTATTAACAGGAAGTCATTAGGTCAGTCCTCGGAGGTTAGACATTCAGCTGCAAAGGAAATCTGGGGAGGTGACATCCTCTTGGATGGTCAGAGTTTTATATTATGCATTTCCTGATGCCCAGAACTTCCTCATCTGAACTTTTCTAAAATACTCAGAATGTTGTACTCTTTGCATTTAAGATGTGATGTTTTATGTATGGAAGGTTATGATATCACATCTCAAAAGGTAATTTTTGTTGCCTGAGTGTGTCCCATTTGGGTGTGTTGCATAGTTTTTGTTCAGCACATGTGACACGGTTAGCATGGCCTCTTCTAGTCTGATCCGTTGTTTCCAGTCCTTCTGGTGGGTAACATTTCCATTTAGAAAATCTGAACAACAGTTTGTCTCTAAAGGGATTACCTAACGGAGAAAAACAGAACCCCGATGTTCATTATCTCGGAGGAACATTTCATCTTCTTGAACACACTCTACCTGCCAAGTCATAGGCATATCACCAAAAATTCTCCTCTGGGTCAGACTTTCTCAGTTTTTGCACTGTTAACATTTTGGGCCAGATCATTTTGTCCTGAGCAGGGTACAATATTCAGCAGAATCCCGGCTTCTATCACAAGATGCTAGTAGCACCTACCCCTGCCGTGCGATAACCAGAAATGTCTCCAGATATCACCAAGTGGTCTTTGTGTTGTGGATGAGAGTAGGGAGTGATGTAAACCGTTGTTGGCTTGAGAACCACTAGTCCAGTAAAATGTGAGGGCCCTAGAGTCCTTTCCTGCAAATGGCTGTTGTAATTGCTGGGTTCCCCCCACCCCACCCCATGAGGTAGATCTGAGAATTACTCCATATTTTTATAAACTCCATCAAGTCGTCTTCCCAGATGAGAGAGTCATGATGATGTGCTCTGATTGGGCACTGTGGTTTTTGAGTCTGGTTGTGCCATATCTGCTCCCATTTCGCTTTGTGACCTTGGCCAATTTATGTAAACCTCTCTGAGCATCAGTTTTCTGTCTTGAAAAATGGGGCTAAAAGTAGTAACTCCCCATAGGGTTGTTGGGCAGACTCACTCTGGATCACAAAAGCACTTGATGGATGGAAGGGTGGCCGGATAAAAGGTGGTCATTTGGCTTTCTTCTTTCTTTTTTTTTTCCGTTTGATTTATTTTAGAGAGAGAAAGGATGGGGGAGAGAGGAAGGGGAAGGGAGAGAGAGAATCTTAAGCAGGCTCCATGCTTAGCGCAGAGCCTGACACGGAGTTTGATTCCACAATCCTGGGATCATGACCTGAGCTGAAACCAAGAGTCGGACACTCAACCAACTGAACCACCCAGGTGCCCCAATGGTCAGTTTGCCTTTCTAAAAGCCCATGATCCTGCAAAATTCTGTTTTTTGTGGGATTCCAGAAGGCAAAACATATCCACTAGCTTGATCGTGGGTACTCAGAGTATATTCATCAAGTATACCTTTTTTAAAATGAAAAAATAATATATCACTAATACAGTGATTTGGTTTTGCTTCATGTTACAGCAAGGGATCGCCCGATGTGAGTCATTGTTTGACGTACAGTCATACACTACAGCTGTGACTATCCCAAATTTAGTCATTTCCAGGTGAACCTGCAGTTAAATGATTAACCTATATTATAAGTGCTATTAAAAAAAACCCTCTGATCATGTCTTTCCTATTCTTTCTTGGTGGTATACCTTTGAGTGACATCTAATTTTGATTTGGTAAGATTCAGAAAGGTAGTTTGTTCCTTTCTGTCCAGAGCTTTCCCGGAGTCTTTTATTACCCCCGGAGCTCCCCCTCGCCTGTGGCAGGTGCATACTCCTCAGCATTTTTGCACTTGCCAAGGCACGTTCCTTTTCTGGGTACCCCAGACAGGAGGGAGCTTGCTGCCGTGCGTCTTTCTGTGGGCGTGCCCCTGACCCGCCCCTCCCTCCTCCTCTGTGACCTCCGTGGTACAGGAGCAGTGAACAGATTTCCTACCTAGAGGGTGTATCAGGAAACCACCGATGAAATCAACAGAAATAACAGCAGTTTTGACAGAGGTTGAAACTCGCAGAATTGGAACCTGAGTGACACAAATGTGTCAACAGAAAAACTTGATTGTTTCTCATCAGTGGAAAGACAGATGGGGATCCACACGGCTGTTTCTACATCTGTTTCTGCTGTTAAATGGCTGTCCTCCACCTTCACAAAGACATGATAAAATTAGGGAATCGGGCTGAGAGTCCTTCATAGCAGTTGTAACTTGCTTTGTCACTCTGAATGTTTACTCTAAACCAGGCCCTGGGCTAAGTGCTTCATGAACATCTACTCACCCAATCCTTCCAACAGCCCCCTGAAGCAGGCGTTGCTCCCATTTTACAGATGAGAAAACAGACACAGTAAAGTTAAGCAATTTACCACCATCCCCCCTCCAAATAAGTGATGGAACCGGAATGCAACCCGTCCGTACACTCTACCATCCTCACCCTAGTGGCCATCACGAATTAAGTCTGCGTCATTCCAGCTCACCTATGCTGTTACAGGCACATGTATGGAATCACATTTTCCGTGAACGTTTTAAGACTTCAGGTGGGGAAACGGCTTTGCCTTTTAGACTTGAAGATTCAGGCTCGGTCCCATAACTTCTTTTGCAAACCCAGTTGCCATTTAATTATTTCAAATTCTTTAAATAAACCGAAGCCCTTCACCTTTTATGTACGGTTTTTGCTTGCAGGCGGCACGTTTGCTCTCAGTGCAGGGACATGCCGAATGAAGGCAAAAGCGCTAGTGTTTCACATTTGTAAGTGATAAGAGGGGGGAGGTGGTGGCTTTCAGAGATCATGTTTCAAGTCCAGCCCTGGTTTTTTTTATGTGTGTGGGAATGGACGCAAAGAAAAACACAGCTGAGCTGCATTGTGGCTCTTCCTGTAGAACCTGTTCATGCCCAGGGTGAGTAAACCCTGGTAGAAATGTCTCCCTCAGACAGCCTCTAGTGAAATCCAGTGCCTGGATTCAAAGCAACTTACTTCCCAGCAAGTAGCATCTGGATACGCACTACACCCCCTTTAAAAACGTGTGTCTCTCTTCTGGGAAGATCTGCCAGGGAAAACTTTGCTCTGTATCTCGCTGATCAGAGGAAGGAGTAGAAGTGGGGAGGTGTCACTGGGTAGGCTTGCTGATGTCAGCCGTGGGAGGCTCTGTTTGTGAAATTGAGTTACACCTAGGTGTCTTATGAAACTCCGTTCACAACTCACCGGAGCTGCTGTCTGGGAGAGGGGAGGTAGAGCCTTGGGGCTTTCCCTCAGATTTCTGTCCCATTTTTGGAATCTCTGGATTAAAAGAAATGAAAGCATCTTGCCTATGGACATTTTAGGAAAGTGGTATGTAGCCTTAAACTTTCACTAATAACTCTCTCAGCCTCAGTGATTGTAGTTACGCTGTCAGTATGTCGGGCAAGAAAGGGCTGTGTTTTTAGTGCGTGCTGATTTATGTCACTGTGTTTGGGATTGGGGGTTCCAGTTTGCATGCTTTTGTATCCTAGTTACCTGTGCGTAGGGACTTGAGGTTCACACATTCATGAAAAGTCTTGGCTCAAATGGTGGTGCTGAGGGTGTGTTGCAGAGAACTTATTATTATTATTTAGAAAATTGAAATGCTCCTCTGAGATTCTTTGAACATAATTTCAAACTCCAGCCAAAGTGTAATAATCATCAATGGTGAGACAAACTCAACGATGAAGTCCGAGTGGAGACGAAAAGCTGAGGCTCGGGCTAGTACAAGAGGGTTGGGAATGATCCCAGAAAATACAGCAGGGCGTTCAATCTTGTTTGAGACATTATTGGGTTTTCAGTCATTTGCACATTGCTAGTTAATTCTGTTTCTCCCAACCAATTGGCAAATGATACTGAGCGCAGCATTAGCGTGTCGGCAGTGGGAATATACAAGTGGGTTCTATTTACAAAAACTGGAGGCTCCAGTTCAGAAACCAAGAGGGCAATCCCGCATTTACCCCCACCCGACCTTTGTTCCAGTTCCTGGAGCTAAGTTTCCGTCACATTTAGGGGAACTCTTGCAGGCGGGAAACTGGTATCACAGAGAATCACCCCTGCTTGGGGTTCCGTTTTACTTTCACTTTGCCTCCTTTTGAAATTTAATCTGTGGTTCTACTAAAACACCCCTTTGAATATCTTTCCACTTAAATATGAAGTCAGCATCTTTGATCAGAAGGCATGTGCTTACTGGAATGTGTGAGGATTTCCTTACTAATTCTCTTTATTTAGTTGAGTCAGGGGGAAAAATAGTATGCATGTTCCCTATACTTGCCTGGTTTTATAGTTCAAGGAAGATTTATTAGTGAGCTGCAGATTAGTCAGAGAAAGGAATAAAATGGTTTCAGGTTATTGATTTGTAAAAAGACTGTGTCACATATTCGTGCTTTGTCTTAGTGTGCCTTCTTGATTATTTGGTGATTAAGATGGGTTTTAGGGGCGCCTGGGTGGCTCATTCAGTTAAGCGTCCGACTTCAGCTCAGGTCATCATCTCACAGTTTGTGGGGTCCAGCCCCGCATCGGGCTCTCTGACAGCTCGGAGCCTGGAGCCTGCTTGGGATTCTGGGTCTCCCACTCTATCTGCCCCTCCCCGACTCACACTCTGTCTCTTTCTCTCTCTCAAAAATAAACAAACATTAAAAATTTTTTAAAAAAACAGATGGTCCTAGCTTTGGTAAAAATTAGTGTTCATTAAAGCTCTATGTTTTTGTTTTGTTTTTTTCTTAATTGCTTAGTTATTCCAATGGAAACAGCTTGAGAACTTGTATTTCCGTGAGAAAAAATTTGCCGTTGAAGTTCACGATCCACGGAGGTGAGGATGACAGCCTTTTCTTTGTTTGGTCCCGGTGACTATCTGAATAACACTACTGGGAACATTCATGTGCAATTTTTTGCGTGTGGGCATATGTTTTTATTTCTCCTGGATATACTGGGAGGGGAATTACTGGGTCAAATGGTAATTCTTCCTTTAACCTTTTAAGAAACTGCCACACTGTTGTCCAAAGCGGCTACACCATTTTGCATTCCCACCAGCAATATGTATGGTTCCATTTTCTCCACATCTTCCCTGACACTTGTTATTTTTAGTTGTGTTTTGGTTGCTTTGTTAATAGCCATCCTGGTGATATATAGCGATAGCCCTTCTGGTTTGGATTTGCATTTCCCTCAATTCAAAATGGTGGCCGAGCATCTTTTCCTGTACTTCTTGGCCGCTGGTGTGTCTTCACTAGAGAAATCCCTTGTTCGTATCCCTTGCTCACTTTTTAACTGGGTCTTCCTGGGCACTTTAAAACAACGGTTGCCAGGTTATCAACATGGATTGAAGTCAGGATTGGAGGCGCTCCAAGCTCCTCAGAGGAATTCATTTTCAGTCCTCAGTGTTTGCCTTTCAGACACGTTGGTGGATGCTCAGAGGTTAGAGGGATGGGGGGAAACAGCTGTGACAAAAAGATGACCCCAAGAGACAAGTCAGATTCCTGCACAGAACACTGTACCCTTGTCCCTTCTTCCCCGCAGCATCTGCCTGCCCTCCCCCACCTTCCTTCTCCTTTCACTCTCTCCTCCTCTCACCCTTTCTCCTCTTTTTATCTGGTGCATAAGCCCTACGCTGGACCAGTTTCAGACTTGCATATCTTCAGACAACATTATCATGTTCATCCTCTGATAATGTCATAGCTGGACAAGTCAACCTAGATCTGAGCTGTTCTTTTACCTTGAAGAAGGCGCTGACCCTCCCCTCTTGGCGGTTTTGTCTTTGAAGTATTACCACATTTATTCCCAGACTCTTCTGATGGCCACACATCCTGTGGTTTTTAACCAAACATTTCTGGTACAGCCTCTAATTTGCCTAGTTCTTATCTGCTTTTGAGTATGCGTGTACGCATTTTTGAACATGCTAGTTTTCTAAAAAAAAAGAGACTATCCAGGTGCAACTGGTTTTGTCATAAAAGGAGAAAATCAGAAGCGTGGCCCCTGTTGGCATCAGTAGAGCAGCAGAAAAACAATTAGGTAGATCCTTCGTGATAACATGACTCACTGGTTACATTTTGTGTTGTGCTGGGCCAGAGGTGAATAATTCAAATGCTTTCCTTCATCTTTCAGGATTTCTGTGTCAAGAAGAACCTTTGGGCAAAGTGGCCTCTTTGTGCAAACGTGGTATGCAAACCCTTCTCTCATCAAGTCCATCTGGGTAATGGCAATTAGTCAACATCAGTTTTATTTGGACCGGAAGCAAAGCAAAGTAAGTAACAGGAGTGCTTCTTATGGGAGCCGACTTCCCTCCCTCGTTTGCTTTCTGTTCGGAAGATAAGCTTTCCCAGAAAAGATGCGAGCACGTGGGTTTTTGGTCTTTGAGTTCTAATAAACTTTTTGACCACCTGTTTTAATTTTTCTTACATTTAAAAGACGGGCGGCCGGGGCGCCTGGGTGGCGCAGTCGGTTAAGCGTCCGACTTCAGCCAGGTCACGATCTCGCGGTCCGGGAGTTCGAGCCCCGCGTCGGGCTCTGGGCTGATGGCTCAGAGCCTGGAGCCTGTTTCCGATTCTGTGTCTCCCTCTCTCTCTGCCCCTCCCCCGTTCATGCTCTGTCTCTCTGTGTCCCAAAAATAAATAAACGTTGAAAACAAAAAAAATTAAAAGACGGGCGGGGTGCTGGGTGGCTCAGTCGGTTAAGCATCCGACCTCACTCAGCTCAGGTCATGATCTCGCAACTTGTGAGTTCGAGCCCCGCTTCGGGCTCTGTGCTGACAGCTAGGAGCCTGGAGCCTGCTTCGGATTCTGTGTCTCCTTCTCTCTCTGCCCCTCCCCTGCTTGTACTCTGTCTCTCTCTATCAAAAAAAAAAAAAAAAAAAATTAAAAGACGGGCAAATATATACCTGATTTAAAAGTTCTAAGACTCGCCAACTTTTTGGCATGTGGGCACGTGTCCACAGGTGATGTGTTCAGGTTAATGGTTGAACTATACCGTGAGAGGGATTCATGCATAGTTATTTGAACATTTGAGCTGTAAGCTTAAGTCTCCTATGTTTTTCTTCTGAGGTGTCACGTTAGCATATAAAAATTCTGAGTTGTCCTTCGTGTGACATACTTATCCCATAGCAACTTAATCATTGTATCAGTTTGAAATAGGTTCAGTTGAGTGAATTCTGTTTCAATGTTGTATACCTCTTAGGCAAAAATTCCTTCAGCCAGGAGTTTGGATGATATCGCGATGGATTTGACAGAGACAGGAACACCAAGGGTCTCCAAAATGGTGACACTGGAGGCAAAAAGTCAGTTCATCATGGCGAGTAATGGCAGCTTAATATCTTCAGGTAATGTTTTGGGAAAGTATGAACAATCTTTATTTTGCTGTTTTGTAGGGGTCAGCAGCCACTTTTAAATGCATTTTAGACCCATTATTTGGGGAATAAATAAGCATATCAAAACCTGCAGCATTGCAGCATAAACCAATTTTTTTTAAGTATAAGGAAAGTTAAATTATAAAAAGCTTGTATAAATAACACTAGATACAACGATACTGAGTGCTCAGGGTAATTTGAAAGGACATTTTCTCCCCATACGTTCTATCAGCTTCTTCTCCCAATAATTAGTTTCTGTTCAGACACTTGGCTAATTCTCTACTTAATATATAGCCAAACGTGACTACAAGCTTCAAACTTCACCCCAGTCCCACCCCCCCAGTGTGATTGCTGCCGGAAGCCCTTCCTCTGTAGAAATTCTGGAATCTCTTATCACCAAGTATATGTAACTTAATTCAAATGAATTTTCCCATCTAAATCCTATTGTCAACTCTTAATCTGAAGCACACAACATTCCTTTGCCTTGCTTGCTTGCTTTCTAAAAGGACATTCTAAACAATTATCTCCAGGAACATCTTACCTTCTCTCCTGCTCAGAAAACTGAAATTCTTCCTTGGGTGTGTCTGAAACATTAAGCATTTTATCATCGCTTCTAAACTGACTGAGCCAAAATACAGAAGGTATATATAATTACCAGGCTCTGTTGGATGCCCAGAAGCCTGAGAAAATTGTTCTCCAGTTTCCTTTTATTATGTTCAGAAACAAGGAGAAAAGAAATAAATTATGATTTAATAGCAGGTTTCACTTAGAAATCCTTTGTCCTTTAAAAAGGAAGGAAACATGTCTCGGATAAACCTTCCCTGCCCTCCCTCCCAATCCCTCCAGGTTCTCAAGACTCAGAAGTTAGTGAGGAGCAGAAGAGGGAGAAAATCCTCGAGCTCAGGAAGAAGGAGAAGCTCTTGCAAGAAAAACTCCTGAAGAAAGTCGAGGAGCTTAAGAAGATCTGTTTGCGGGAGGCTGTGAGTGTCTTCTCTGGTCTGGGGGACGCTTCACTTTGTGTTTGACAACCCCGGCCTGTGTCAGTTCTCCCCCTCTCGATTCGGTCCTGTTTTACAGGAGCTCACGGGCAAAATGCCAAAGGAATATCCGCTGAACGTCGGTGAGAAACCGCCTCAGGTCAGAAGGCGTGTGGGTGCCGCGTTCAAACTGGATGACAACCTGCTGCCCAGCGAGGAGGTATGAGCATCAGCGCGAGCATTTCTACTCACCACACGACAAAAGAGCTGTCAGCTGAATGTGGTTGACTTGTCCCTTTGGTGCTCGAGTCACCGCTGTACATTTTTATCTCGCGCTCGCCACTTGAACGTGACATGGTAGACCACACGATACTTTCTTTCGTGCACCGTCTCCATACATTTGAGTTGTTTCTCACTTTTTTACTCCTCCGCACACAGGGAGCTTGAAACAAACCCCAACTGTGGGTAAACTGAGGAACTTTATTATGAGAATTAAGAACTCTAGCGTTAGACTCTTCTGAGCAAACAGAGAAACCTTTGACAAATAAGTTTGCCCATTCTGAAGTCTCATTTCCCAGACCTCAGTTTCTTCATCCATAAAGTGGGAGTAATCTTTGTTCTTCCCACTGAGGGATGCAAGGAGTTTCAATGAGATAATACGTGTGCAGCATTCGGGTATAATAAAGTTCCAGTATACAGTGTTTTCTCTCATCTGAGTCATCGGACAGTAGGACCCTACTCCTGCTTCTTGCCCAAATTTAGCCATCTTGGCTTTAGAAATGATAGCAGTTTCCATCGTGATTAGAGTGAGCTTTGCAACTTATAGAGTATACCCAGTCCTGAGCTAAGTAATGCACATATATTATTCTCATGTAACCTTTGCCGTATTTTTATAAGGTAGATGTTACCTGCATTTGAAATGGAGATGCACAGAAAAAATAAAAAGGAAAGAAAGAAAGAAATGGAGATACAAAATGAGAAAAACCTGTAACATTAGAAAATTTCAGCAGTGTTTCCAGGGTCATGCAACCAGGAACCATTAGAAAGAGAAATCAAACTCAAATGTATCTGTCTCTAAAGCTATGTGTGTTAACATAACTAACTGTCTACGTCTGTGAATCTTGGATTAAGAATCTCTCCTTGAAAAATATCATCATCACCCAACCAACTAACTGATTGCAGGGGCATTCCCTTCTTTAAAAGAAAAAAAGCCGTATTAGTGATAAGTTGAGGTAAACAGATGAGGAAGGTTTGTCTTCCAGGAAAGTGTTTGAAGTTACATATGCAGTAACCTTAGGAAGGTTTTATTCTCAAAGAGCACCTGATTTGAAAATGTACAAGAAATGGTATCATTGTATAAATGCAGGACCCTGCCCTACAAGAACTGGAGAGCAATTTCCTAATACAGCAAAAGCTGGTTGAAGCTGCGAAGAAACTTGCCAACGAGCCAGACCTTTGTAAAACCGTGAAGAAAAAACGAAAGCAGGATTACACGGATGCTGTGAAAAAGCTTCAGGACATTGAAAACGCGATAAATGAATACCGGATCAGATGTGGAAAGAAACCCAGCCAGAAAGCAACAGTGATTTTACCAGGTTCGTAAGAAGTAAGGTTTCTTGAGTCACGTAGTCGATATATCCTTGATGGTATCTAGCATTTCCAAGTTAGTTCATTTGGTAAGAGATAAAAGAACACGATTAAAGGTAAGTTTCTTAGGGTAAAAATGGTTTCGGAATTCAGTGTTACAAGTATGTGAACTTGGTTTGCGGTGACCTTCTCACTGTTGTAACACTACACTATTGCGTTGCTTAAATTTTCAGGATGAAACAGCATTCATGGCCATATTCGTTCATGATATAACAGATTCACCTTTAACTGGCCTGATGTCATTGCAAGAAATACACTCAACATCACGGAGTAGTAAGAGAGCTGGGCCTACCCAGTAGTTTCTGAAAGGTTTTTAATGCAGGGACCATACATTTTCTTAATACCTATGTAACATTTGTGAATAGAGCTTTTACAGTCCCTGCCATGTGTGGAGGCTATTTAAAGATAGGGACAAATGTGATATACCATGGAGTGCAGAAAGCGGGGTATAAAATTGTAACCACAGTATGATCCTGACATTATATAAATATGCACTTACAAGAACTGGTTGGGAAATATTTCAAAATACTAGTAGCTGTGGAATTTCAAATAACTTAATTTTTTTAAGTAATTTTCTGTATCTTCAAAATTCTCAACATTATATACCTAAGACTTTCATATTCAGGGAAAAAGTACACTGAAAATCTCACTTAGGTAGATTCCAAGTCCAGTTGGCCTTACTTTATCAGCATGGTTTTCAGCCTTGATCACTGGTTGAAATATGCTTATATTTCTTTGATCCCAAGACTATTTTTTCCACATTTAAACATCTGTGAAATTTGAATAATTTTTATACTAGATGGTGTATTACGATTGTAATTGGCAATACTTTTTCTTTTTTAACGGAGACATCAATAGTTATATATCTTAGATTTGATGAAATATGGTAACTAGGCTTATAGAATATATTTGGGTTTAGGGCCGTATGATTTATGAAGCAGAGATATGGCTTTTGTGAATGCACAGACATCAACGCACAAATGTTAGTCAGCTACAGCTGGAGAATTTAGGATGGCTTTGACTCTGAATGAGAAGTCCAGTTGGCCTTGGAGGTGGTTACATTCTGGACCTACAGAGATAGGTGATTAACAGTGTGCTTAACTTTCATAACCATTTGTTGTGGCCCATTCATCTCCAAACTGTGCAAGATTCAAGTGATCTCCTCTATAATGAGTGACATTTGGACAGCAGATTATTGGGTAGATTTTTTTTTTTTTTTAATGTGCCTGACAGCTGACTGTACTGGCACCTTGCCTTCAAGCTCTACTACTGTGTGTCCAATTAAGAGATAGTCCGCCTGGCTCTGATGGAGATTAACATCATTTGAGATCAGATGGGAGAGATTTCCTTCATAATGGCAAAAAAGTGAATACGAAGGTGCTGTATTTGCCTGTAATCACGCCAGTACTCATGCCAATACATGCCTGTGTATGGAATGTTTTGCCAAGGCAGATCAACACATCTGAGAAGATTTTTATTTCTAACCACATTTTTTAACATTTGATGGGCAGCAGTAACACTCAGGAGCATAATGGGCATTTCCCGCCACCAGAATGCTGTGTCTAGGTAATCAAAGCAAGAAGTGTAGCTAACATTTATTGAGCATTTGCCCTGTGCAAGGAGCCAGGCTAAGGGCTGTACATCCGTTACTTCACTTACTGCTCACCTCGGCACTGCAGACCACATCCTAGTCATATTCCTGTTCCAGTTGACCCAAAGGATGCTCAGAGAGAGTAAGTCATTTGCCCAAGGTCTCACAGCCAGTAAGTGACAAAACCAAGAATTAAACCCGGGTCTGTCTAATCTGTTGGTTCTCAACCAGGAGCAATTTTGCACCCTGGGGAAACCTGGCAATGTCTGCAGGCATTTTTGGTTGACACAACCAAGTGTGGAGGTGCTGCTGAGAGAGAGTAGTGGAGGCTGAAGATCCTTCATTGCGAAGGACAGCTTCCGTCAGCGAAGAATTGTCCAGTCCAAAATGTCCGTAGTGCCACATAGACACCCGGGTCTCACCGAGAAGGTCATGCTCCACAAAGTGTTCACCTATTAAGAACAGTCCCTTTTCTTCAGGGAGGATTCAAAAATTAATTTACAGTAACGGATTTTCACATGAAGGTTCAAGTGTATGTTACATAACATTTAGTATTTATGACACGAATGGCATGATTTTTGTTTCCAGTTCGTTGCTTACAAGCCCTCAATGTATAGGGTACAGTTTTCGTCTCATGTAGAAGCTAGATTGGAAACTTGCTGCATACGAAAACTCCCTTGAAGTCGATGCCATTTTAAGAAATAGTCCATATCCGGGGCGCCTGGGTGGCGCAGTCGGTTAAGCGTCCGACTTCAGCCAGGTCACGATCTCGCGGTCCATGAGTTCGAGCCCCGCGTCAGGCTCTGGGCTGATGGCTCGGAGCCTGGAGCCTGTTTCCGATTCTGTGTCTCCCTCTCTCTCTGCCCCTCCCCCATTCATGCTCTCTCTCTGTCCCAAAAATAAATAAACGTTGAAAAAAAAAAAAAAAAGAAATAGTCCATATCTGTCCATATTTGTTTGGACTATTTGTATATGACACATAGTCATATTTGTATGACATCTAAGATGTTTATATTTTTGGCAGGAAATTATTCCATTTTTATGATTGTTAATTATCCTCAATGCACTGTAATTAGTTACGCTTACTAAATAAAAATAAGATGCACTCCGTTGAGAATTGCTTTATTAAACTCAGTGTAGGTATATAAAGGCCCAGTTATTCTAAAGGCACTTATTTTTATTCACAGAAGACATAATCCCATCAGAGAGCAGCTCCTTGTCTGACACTACCACCTATGATGATTGTAAGTATGTTATTTTGATTTAATATGTTATATATTTTGAACTACTAAGACAATTGCTTTAATTTGGTAAAGCCTACATGTTATTCTCTTGGGAAAAGTAGAATCAACTAACTTATGCAGAATGGTTAGGGAACAGAGATGATGATTAACTTCTATCCAGGTTGATTCAGCATTAAATAAAATACAGTACCATACAAATTGCATGACTATTACTCGCGTGATAGTTTCTCAGCAAGCGTTGTGAGGCTCTGTAGGATTTTTTTAATAGGATTTTTATTTTATTTTAATTTTTTTAATGTTTATTTTTGAGAGAGACAGAGAGACAGTACGAGCAAGGGGAGGGTCAGAGAGAGGGAGACACAGAGTCCGAAGCAGGCTCCAGGCTCTGAGCTGTCAGCACAGAGCCCGATGCAGGGCTCGAACCCACGAACCATGAGATCATGACCTGAGCTGAAGTCAGACGCTTAACCAACTGAGCCACCCATTTTATTTTACTTTTATTTTATTTTTATTTTACTTTACTTTTTATTTTATTTTACTTTTAACTAAGCGCCATGCCCAATGTGGGGCTTGAACTTACGATCCTGAGGTCGAGAGTTGCATGCGCTACCTACTGGGCAAGCCAGCCTCCGCTCTATAGGATTTTTTTTTTTTTAACGTTTATTTATTTTTGAGACAGAGAGACAGAGCATGAACGGGGGAGGGTCAGAGAGGGAGACACAGAATCTGAAACAGGCTCCAGGCTCTGAGCTGTGAGCACAGAGCCCGACGCAGGGCTCGAACTCACGGACCGCGAGATCATGACCTGAGTCGAAGTCAGCCGCTTAACCGACTGAGCCACCCAGGTGCCCCTCTATAGGATTTTTTTAAACATTTTATCTTGAAGTGATTACAGGTTCACAGGGATTTGTGTAAATAATACAGTCTTTCACTCACCTTTTCCCAATGGTGACATCTTATATATTTAGAGTCTAATCTCAAACCAAGAAATATAGTGTAAACTTTGATTATCACTGTATTCTGGATAGCTAGGAGTTTATTTTATTTTCCTTAGGAAGACATACACATTTTGGAAATTGGGTTACGTGTCATTGTGTTGGTTTCATAGAGGAAGGCCATTAGTGTTGTGATGGCCTGTGTTCCACACATTTCCTGATGGAATGGATTTCGTATCAAGTGATAGAGTATTTCTTTGTAATCCTTTGTGCTTAGGCAGAGGAGTGGCTACCTGAATGACATGATTTAAAGAATTTTGGGAAACTGCTACCCATACTGTTTTATCTCCCCCAGCCCCACCCCACCCCAAGTGTTAACGGTGCATGAAACTCCAGCATTTCCAAATTCTTTCCTTGAGCTGAAATTGGGTCATGCTTGCCATTCCTCTTTGAAAATGCACACGTCAGTGGGGGGGCATAACAAGGCTCTCATGACTCAGCATCAATCAGTTATATTACTTTTAATGACAGGATGAGCCTCTCTGGTCAGCCAAAGAGGCCGAAGAACTTGAAAGGTGAACAAAGTGATCCACTCCAGCTTCATAGGCTAGCTTCCCTTTGGCCTTTTACACACTAGGGTTTTTCGTTGTTTGTGGTGGAAGGAGTGTCTTTTTTTTTTTTAACAATTATTTATTTTTGATAGAGACAGAGCACAAGTGGGGGAGGGGCAGAGAGACAGAGACACAGAATCCGAAGCAGTCTCCAGGGTCTGAGCACAGAGCCCGGTGCGGGGCTCGAACTCAGGAACTGTGAGATTGTGACCTGAGCCGAAGTTGGACGCTTAACTGACTGAGCCCCAGGAGCTCTTTAATATAACTCTCGAAAAGCTCTAGTATCACCCATTCCACCTGAATAGTTTCTTTGCTCAGAGTGGCACCTACTGAATTGACAAAAGTTGGATCAGGCCCCCACACGAGTACAGTTGATCCTTGAACAATGTGGGGGTTGGGGTGGCCACATCCCCCATAGTTGAAAATCTAAGTATAACTTTTGACTCCCCCCCCCAAACTTAACTACTAACAGCCTACTGTTGGCAGAAGCCTTACCATTAACTTAAACAGTCAATTAACACATATCTCTTACATGTATTAGATACTGTATTCTTACAGTTACGTAAGCTAGAGAAAGGAAAATGTTATGAAGAGAATCCTAAGGAAGAGAAAGTACATTTGCAGTGCTGTACTGTATTTAAGAAAAAAAATTCCTGCTTATGTGGACTTATGCAGTTCAGACCTGTGTTGTTCAAGGGTCAGCAGTATTCAGTAATTTCTTTTTTCTAGTGTATAAAGTACAAAAATAAATTTCCTGAAAGTAATATACTTCCAAAACCATCTGTGGAAAAACTGTATGTTCACCAGGTCTTCTGGTTTGTTTTTTGGTTTTTTGTTTTTGTTTTTGTTTTTTGGGTGCTGGCAAGGTTTTATTATCTATTTACCTACTTATTTATCCATTCATTAATTTACTTACTATAGCTGATGCCTTCACTCTTGCTGGGCAGCGACCAAGTTCAGTACCTCATTCTCCAAGAATTCTTCCCCCCAAGTCTCTCGGTATCGAGCGAATCCATTTCAGAAAGTCGTCTGTCAATGAACAGTTTGTGGATACCAGGCAGTCCAGGTGAGAAGTCACATCATCAGTATCCTCACAGCCATGAGATCTTACCTTCAAAATGGTTCAGCCTTTTTGACATTACCCTATTTGTCCTTTCAAAAGGGATTCTCTTTTAAAACCAAAGCCTAGAAACTAACCCCGTCATTTGTTGTCGACAGCAAGTGCAAGTGTTTCTAAGAGATCTTTTCAAAGCATTTGGCAGTTTCCTATATTTTAAAGTCTGTTTGATTTATGTTAGGTTCTAGGGGACCTTGTTTATAGTGTGGGTTTGGATATAATGTCCAAAGTTTAGTTTCATAACCCATGGTCTCAGGAAACCATCATTAACTATCACTCCATCAGTGCAAGTGACAGAAATGACTTCTAATCTTTCAAATAGAAATGAGACTTCAACTCATTTTAATCTGTAAAATAGATGATATGACTTTTTTCTCAAATGTCTCAGGTAAATATTATCAGGCAGTAACACCAGCTTGTAAAAAGATGACGAGAGGCCAGTGATTCTCAGAATTTGACTGCGTGGATCAATACTATTAAAAAAAGAAAAAATAAATAGGGCCCAAGATAGGATTACCAAATGTTTACTCTGGCTACTCAGAATGTTCAAATAACAATACTGTGATTTCACGGGGGAACAAATGACATTAAATAAAAAATACAGCCATTGTCATAAAACTAAGATGATGAAGTTAACATTTTGGACACTTACGGTACGTCAGACACTGTTCAAAGTGTTTTAATATCATTACCTTTTACGGAGAAGCACACCAGGGACCAGAAAGCTTGAATGACCTGTTGGGTTCATCAACTAATAAATGTTAGAGTCAAGATTTGAACCTCAGCAGCGTCACTCCAAAGCCTGTGATGTGATTTTTAGCTAGCACGTGACACTGCATCTCAGCAAAGGTAGAAGTTTGTCTTAAAATATAGGAAGATTGTTTAGATTAAATAATTCTTCCCTATGAAAATAAAGCTAGCGCTTTGTTGTATTTCTCATTTCTCAAAGACCAGTGACAGCTTTTATCACCTCTCAGCCCCAGTTGTTAGCATTTAGAACTGTTGCCTTAAATAATAGAAATCCAAGTGTTTAGAGCTCTGCTGGCCAGTTGAATTAAAAGTAAATAAAATTAAAAATTCACTTCCTCAGTCATGCTAACCATATGTCAAGTGCTAATAGGCACATGTGGGCTAATGGTAGAATATTGGACAGCACAGATACAACACATTTCCGTCATTGGATAGCACTGGACAAGTGTATTTATTATATTAGGGAAAACAAAGCTATTGCAGCAAAAGGGAAAAAATTATAACCAGAAATCTTATCTTAAAAATTATTATACCTACTTCCTTAATAGCTTAAGATAGGTTTGCTCTTTGATCCAGCAATCTGACTTAGAGGAATTTTTCCTGTTGAATTAGTTAACTACAGGATGCTCATCACAGCACTGTTTACATTAGTGACAAACTGAAAATAACCCAAATGTTTAACTAGTAGATTGTTTAAATGTGTTACAAGTCCTTACAGTGGAAGGCTAAACTGTCATTAAAATAACATTGTAGATGAATATTAACCAACAAAGAACATTAGATAGAGGTGTTTGGGGTTTTTTTTTTTAATGTTTATGTATTTTTTGAGAGAGAGACAGAGCATCAGCAGGGAGGTGCAGAGAGAGAGAGAGGTGGGGAGACACAGAATCCAAAGCAGGCTCCAGGCTCTGAGCTGTCAGCACAGAGCCTGATGCGGGGCTCAAACTCGCGAACTGCAAGATCATGACCTGAGCTAAAGTCGGACGCTTAACCGACTGAGCCACTCAGGTGCCCCATAGATAGAGTTATTTTTAAATGTGGGCTTTGAAAGAGAATATACAGTAAGATCTTATTTTTTTATTGTTAAAAACTGTAAATGCTTGTAAGTAAATATGCTTAGTAAAAATATCTGAAAATATCCGGTGTTGACTGGCTATATCTGAGGTTCAAGATTATAGACATTTAAATTTTTCTTGTTTTTAATCTGTATTTTCAAAATTTTCTGCAATGAACTTGTGCTTTGGTACTAGTAAAAATGTATTCAAAGTCATGTTTAATTAAAAAACTGACTTCAAATTGTGCTCTCACCATGCTGGGAAGTGGACAAAGTGATTGAAGTATGTTGCCTTTTCATCCACGGGCCTGAAAACAACAACCCACTGGCCAAATTCATCCTGCCACCTGGTTTGTGTGGCCTGTGAGCTAAGAATGGTTTTTGTACTTTTAAATAGTTGGAGGGGAAATCAAATGTGAAGATTATATGAAATTTGGCTTTTAGTATCCACAGCCAAGCTTTACCAGTACACAGCCACTCCCATTCACTTACATCTTGTCTACACTGCTTTTGTACTTCAGGGACAGAGTAAAGCAGTCAAGACAGGGCCATCTGGCTGGCAAAGCCAAAAAAATTGACTATTACACTCTTTACAGAAAAAGGCTTTGCTGCCCCTGCTCTAGTTGGTTGGTTTTTCTGTTTGTTGGTTGGTTTGTTTGTTTGTTTATTTGTTTGTTTGTTTGTTTGTTTGTTTGTTTGTTTGTTTTGAGAGAGAGAGGAGAGAGCATGAGCCGGGGAGGGGCAGAGGGAGATAGAGGGAATCTTAAGCAGGCTCTGTGCTCAGCACAGAGCCGGACGCAGGACTCGATCCCATGACTATGAGCCGAAATCAAGAGTCTGATACTTAACTGACTGAGCCACCCAGGCATCCCTCTAGTTGCTTCCAGTCTCTTTTATTCAGTATACTCTTTTAAAAAGTTTTTTAAATTATTTTCCTTCCTATTTATGACTCAGAGAGATCACTCATGTTTCCCCTCAAATTCACCTAGGACATAACAGGCTACTAAGACACCCTTCCCAGTTTCCTCCTATGCTCCCTTCCTTCAGCTTCCAGTAAGTTTCAAAGCACCTTAGGATGTTTGCCAGAGATGTGGGGAGGCTCATCATTTCCGCAATTCTTCTCTTTACCATCACAGGGAAATGCTGTCGACACACAGCAGCCCTTACAGAACCCTGGAGAGGCGGCCCCAGGGAGGACGCAGCATGCCCACCACACCGGTTCTCACCCGCAACGCCTACAGCAGCAGCCACTTGGAGTAAGAGCGCTTCCTTCCAGTTACTTGGACTCTGCTGATTTTTGCTTCAAAGTTTTGCTTTACTTTCTTGTGTTTTTTAATCATTTTAAGGGACTTGAAGCAGCAGGACTATTTTACAGGTCTACATTTTCAATGTTCTTTTTCTTTTAAGTTTATTTATATATTGTGAGATGGAGAAAGAGAGAGAGAACAAGCAGACGAGGGGCAGAGAGAGAGGGAGACAGAGGATCCAAGGCAGGCTCTGTGCTGACAGCAGAGAGCCCGACACCGGACTCGAACTCATGAAACTTGAGATCATGACCTTAGCCGAAGTTGGATGCTTAACTCGCTGAGCCACCAGTCCCTACTGCGTGTACTTTCTTTTTTTTTTTTTTTTTATTTTTTTTTTTTTCAACGTTTATTTATTTTTGGGACAGAGAGAGACAGAGCATGAACGGGGGAGGGGCAGAGAGAGAGGGAGACACAGAATCGGAAACAGGCTCCAGGCTCTGAGCCATCAGCCCAGAGCCTGACGCGGGGCTCGAACTCACAGACCGCGAGATCGTGACCTGGCTGAAGTCGGACGCTTAACCGACTGCGCCACCCAGGCGCCCCTACTGCGTGTACTTTCAAGTACAAAGGAAATGTACTTGAAAATATCCTTTGTTCGAATAGATATTATAATTTTGTAGGTATTATATTTTAATTGTAAATATCAGATACCATTTAACCCCCTCATTTTCCAGAGGCGGAAGCAAGGTTGAGAGAGGTTAAATGTCTTACCCAAGCTGGCACAGCTGGGAAATGGCAGAGCCATGACTCAGTCCAGATATGTCTGGCGTCAGAGCCAGACTCACCCCCATGCCGTGCTGCCTTCACCTTAGTCTGTCTCCTACTATCCCGTTGGAGGAGAGGAACCTCCCAAGACCCATTGGGGTTTTTTTTTTTTTTTTAGGCTTTGATACAAGTTGCACATCATCAATTTATCTTCCCTACCCTCGAGTAAGGCTGTGGATTGCACAATTTATAGAACCTGGTTCTTTTCGCTTGGACCATGACAGTGAACTTGCATGGGAACCAATGGATTATGTGAACAAATGGATTCTCTTGTGCAGTCTGCTTTGGAAACCTTAAAAGTTTCCGTTTGTTTGTTTTGAGAAGGGGGGCAGAAGGAGAGGGAGAAGGAGAGAGAGAATCTTAAGCAGGTTCCACCCCCAGGGCAGACCCTGACACGGGGCTCGGTCTCACAACTGTGAGATCATGACCTGAGCTGAAATCAAGAGTTGGACACTCAGCTGACTGAGTCACCCAGGCACCCATGGAAACCTTGAAAGTTTTATAGTAATTCAAGGGGTGATTAAATCCTTCAACCATGTCTTTGTGTTTTTAATTTCCATCCTCCTTCCCCTGATTCTCTGTTACAAGTTTGCCTTTCTCCTCTTGCAGACCCGAATCTTCTTCCCAACACTGCCGCCAGCGGAGTGGAAGCCTTGAGTCTCAGTCCCACCTGCTGTCTGAGATGGACAACGATAAGCCATTTTTCTCCCTCTCCAAATCCCAAAGAAGCAGTAGTACAGAAATCCTGGATGACGGGTCTTCCTACACCAGCCAATCAAGCACAGAGTATTACTGCGTGACGCCTGTTGCTGGCCCCTATTACACTACTCAGACTCTGGACACTCGTGCCAGGGGCCGGAGAAGGTCTAAGAAACAGAATGTTTCGACTTCAAATTCAGGAAGCATGCCCAACCTAGCACAAAAGGATAGTTTGAGGAATGGCGTCTACACAAAGAGTCAGGAACAACCTTCTTCTAGTTACTATATTGCCGGGTACACACCATATGCAGAGTGTGACCTTTATTACAGTGGTGGCTATGTCTATGAGAATGACACTGAGGGACAGTACAGTGTCAATCCTTCCTACCGGTCCTCGGTCCACTATGGATACGAGCGCCAAAGGGACTATAGCAGGTCCTTTCATGAAGACGAGGTCGACCGGGTACCCCATAACCCATATGCAACTCTCCGGCTGCCCAGGAAGGCTGCAGCTAAGTCAGAGCACATCACCAAAAACATCCACAAGGCCTTAGTTGCCGAGCACCTGCGTGGCTGGTACCAGCGGGCCTCTGGACAGAAGGATCAGGGGCACAGCCCCCAGACTAGCTTTGACTCGGACAGGGGATCGCAGAGATGCCTGGGGTTTGCTGGGCTGCAAGTACCCTGCTCTCCCAGCAGTCGAACATCTTCCTACTCTTCAGGTAAGAATATGGCGGAGGCGCTTGATACCCAGATTGAATTTACCTCATGCCCGCCGCCCACCCACCCCCTAAACCACTCCCCTCAGGGATCATGGGACCAGTACCCAAGGTCATGAGCTGGGTAGCCATTCTGTGGCACCACAGTAAGAATTGCCAACTTAAAAACAGTTCGTCTCTCTAGCTTTCCAAAGAACACAGCCCACAGGATCTGATGGAGCAAGTTGTAGCTTCAAATGCAGCAGATATTCATTGAGCACTTACTCTATGCCTCTCGGTGTTGGGGGCTTTCAAATATTGTATCTTTTCTAGGTCTTACCTTGATAGCCACATCTCATAAAAGTGTTCTGGTCACAGATGTTTGATATATTCAAAAGCAGAGTAAACCCTGCGGGTAAGCAGAAAACATTAGGATTATACACCCTTCCCTGTTCACCAGCAGGAACTTGATCATCTAAAGGCAGTTTGGTTTGAATGTTCAGGTAGCTACGTGAGGCTCCTAATAATTATGAGGGGAGCCAGCATTTAATAAACACTGTTCCTGGCACTGTTCTAAGTACTTTGCATGCCTTGACTCAATTCAGTAATCCTTTAGACTTTATGGCTGCTTTAAGGGATTCTCCAAGATAATTTTGATTAGAGATATTCCCTTCAGGCATTGACTTTGGCCCCTCCATCCACTAAAACCCGTGAAGAACTTTCTGCTTACCCCCATGCCCCCCAGCTGTGCGAGCTGCCCTCAGTAGAGGAGTGGGGAGAAAGAGGAGTATCTGCCTATGGTTTCGTTTATTCAGCAAACAAGCAGGCATATCGCAGATGCTGAGGAGACAACGTTGACACGGTTTCCAGCCTTGAGCACCCAGTCTAGTTAGCAGCCAGAGGAACGTATACAAAGAAAACACTTTTAAAGCTCTACAGCCCTGGACTGTGTGAAAACCTGAGGTCATGCATTCTTGCCCCTGCTTTCAAGCATGACCCCTTAGTAAGACAGCACAGGGATTCCCAACTCATTGAGTAATAAATCTGTGAAAACTGTGTCTTTAAAAGTTTCATAAGCTTGTTGGCCAGAGGCATTTCCATGGAGATTTCTGTTTGGGTTTAATGTCTCTTCTGTTTGCGTAGGACTTTGGACTTCCGTTAGGGCTTTCCCACTTATTACCATATCTAACGTACAAAAAGCGTCCTGTCATGTATTCCTTGTTATTTATGGCTCACGTCTATACAGTGCCTTTCTTCACCCTACAGTTCAGGGCGTTGCATGAGGTTCTTTCAGAAACCAAACCCGGGGATAGTGTTAGAAAGAAAGAACCAAACAAGGAGGGCTGAGATGCATATAGAAGCCCATTGGGGCACAGGGCTGGGGTAATGCCTATTTAAATAGGCCAAAGAGAAGCAGGTGCACCTCCCAAACCACAGCGTTACTAGTGCTTGGCTCAGTGTCTCAGGCAAAGGTAAGAACGGAGTTAATGTTTCCTGATTCAGACCCAGTAGGAAGTTACCTGGTAGCAGCAGGATTCGGCCCCACAGACCAAAAAGCGTTACACTGCAGTAAGGAATCAGAGGGATAAAATTAGAACTCCTAGAATTCCCTTTTGGAGTTTTCTTCATTCCTGTCTACATTTAATAGCTACAAAAATGTATTACAACAGACATGCACACATGCATCATGGAGAGTTTCCTATTATTTGCCAAATTAGGGGTTTGGTAATTCCTTCCAGCCAGCTGAAGACTCTGTTGATGACTCAGTTTTAGTAGAAATGACAGCCATCGTCTGTTGGCAACTTAACCCTGGGCCACACAGCATGCTCACTGTTTTATGTGCACTGTCCCATTTAATGTATGCAACACTTCTGTACAGTGCGTGCTGTTGTTGTTTATTATGAGTATCCTAATCTTGCCATGGAGGCAGTTCTAGCTTAGCGAGTTCACATGACCCTGCCTGAGCCCCAAAGCTGGGAAGTGCTGGAATGGGAATTGTGCCACGGCTCTGACACCTTCACCACCAAGCCCGCCAGCCCCTGACTCAGAGTTATGAAACATTCGTGGAAGCTCAAAGTGAGAGAATTACATCTTTGAGTCAAAATCTCATGGCATCCAGGGCCACAGATGAGTTTTGAAATGCGTCTGTCCTACACTGGTCACAGGGGTTTTGTGGGTGTGAGAAAGAAGAGGCGGACGGTGGCTGCCAGGAACCGAAATGGAGGGGAGCCGGAAGGATCCATGAGCAGTATGGGTCTTGGACCACCAGCCTGCCATTGTGGGCACCTTGTGCGTCCTCAGCATGCGGCAGGACTGGTTTTAGAGGGGGAACAACAAACACCAGTGCAACACATTCACTAGGCTTTGTTCCTGCATTGTGCCCTTGTCTTGCTCCAGTTCAGTCCCTCAGTAGAGCTAATTCTCTTCTTCCTGAAATGCCTCCCCACCCCTTCCCACACACACACACACACACACACACACACTTTTTTTTTTTTTAAGCAAAAAGTATGCATTGATTCTGCTAGTGGCTGATGTTGCCTTGGGCCGAGGAACAGTCTTATCCCAACAGGTCAATTTATGGAGTGCTTTTCCACCAAAGGCCTCCAAGAGACTCAAACTCGTTGCCTTATCTTTACAAATAAAGCCTTCTATATATCTAGCCACCATAGCCCAAGTGGAAAGACTCTCTTCATATATGAGAATTTTTTTTCTACCTGCCTTTTAGGTTATTTTTTATAGCGTGCCTTTCAATTAACTTTATTCTCGTTCGTAATGATATCAATAGTTACCATTTTGGGGTGCTTACTCTGTACCAGGCAAAGTGTTAAATATTCTCATATATGACCTTATTTAATCATGATACCATCCCTATACAGGATGTATTTGTATTATCATCCCCACTTCACAGGCGAAGAAACTAAGGCTTAATGAGAATAAACTATTTGTCCAAGGTCATATGGCCAGTAAGTGACTATACTTGAATAGAAAAGAACTCTGTTGATTATAACCATTGTCTCTTAATCTCTGCACACAGATAATTATAATGTACATCTAAATGGCCTAAATAATCTTCACTTTGAATATTCTCACTAATTTTGTCTCTTTTCATTTTTATTTCCAGTATCTTCTACAAATGCTTCTGGGAACTGGAGGACCCAGATAGCTGTAGGGCTATCTGAATACGAGACCCCGGCACATTCTTCCTACACCAGCTGCTATGGCAACATCTATAATCCTTTGCCCTCTCCAGGCAGGTGAGAAAGCAATGCTTCGAAATTCTACTAGCCTATCCCTGGTCAAAAGAATTCAGGAATTCTGTGTTATTTTATGAATGCTCAAGGATCATAAGACCATAGCCTATAGGCCCAAACCAGCTGCCACCTGTTTTTGTAAATTAAGTTTTATTAGAAAATGGCCATGTTCATTCATGTACATATTGTCTATGTCTGGTTTTTTTTTTTTAATGATTATTTTTGGAAGAGAAAGAGACAGCATGAGCAGGGGAGGGGCAAAGAGAGAGGGAGACACAGAATCTGAAACAGGCTCCAAGCTCTGAGCCATCAGCACAGAGCCCAGTGCAGGGCTCAAACTCACGAACTATGAGATCATGACGTGAGCCGAAGTCAAATGCAGAACCAACTGAGCCACCCAGGAGCCCCATATCTCTGGTTGTTTTTGTGTATCAGGCTTTTAAAGAAAAGGTTTGTTCACTCCTAATCTAGATCATTCAAATTTGATTCTATTCCTAGACATGTATACACTAAAATCTGTGTCTCAAGGTTTTTTTTTAAATTGAAGTGCTTAAAACCATAGTATAGATAATATCCATTTAAGACTCTTCTGAAACCTTGTAGGAAAGATATCTCTACCCCAGAAAAGGTTGCTCACACCAAAATTCCTCATAGACAGTTGGTAGGCTTGATTTCAAACATTTGCTGCCTTTTTGTGTCTGACCCTGTGTTCATTAAGAAGCTACAGACACAGCCAGCTGTTCTATTTATAATCATGGTTCTTTGTAAACATTTGGAGGAAATGTACAAGAACAATTTGTTAAAATGCAGTTTTAAAAAAGATTGCAAACTCTGCATTACACGTTTTTCACTTCTTGGGATATGCAGGATGAGTTAAGTTTGAAGAGGTCACATCTCCCTGTCACTTTTCACAGAATATAATTCAAACCCATGGTGCCAAGAAATGAGCATTTTCTGTTTGTTTTTATTTAAATTTGCTTGAGGCCAAATTGCTTCAGGCATAGGGAGACTTACACAGATAATAACTTATAAAAGTGTCTATCCTGTTGATTTTAAGAGTTTAGTTTCTTGCTTTCCTTTTTTTTAATTTCAATTTTTATTTAAATTCTAGTTAGTTAATATATATGGTAAAATTGGTTTCAGGTGTCCAATTTAGTGATTCATCACTTCCCTACAACACCCAGTGCTCATCACAACAAACACCGTCTTTAATATCCATCACCTATCTAGCCCATCCCCCACCCACCTTTCCTCCAGTAACCCTCAGTTTGTTCTCTGTAGTTAAGAGTCTCTTATGGTTTGCTTCCCTCTCTCTCTTTTTTTCCCCCTTCCCCCTATGTTCATCTGTTTTGTTTCTTAAATTCCACAAATGAGTGAAATCATAATTTAATAAATTACTCAGTGTTATAAGCGAATTAGAGCTATTCAACCCCCAAAGCCTTTTTTTTCTTCTCCATGCTCAATGAGAGTTTTTCTTGGCTGGAACTGTTAGGCCAATTGTCTCAACTCAACAAAGGGTGTGCTCAAAATAGAATGTCAGTGAAAATACACCTCAGAGGACTTCATATATCTTGGGGTTTTGTAAATAATGCAAATGAGTTAGGAGCAAGAACTAAAATGGCTTTGGCCCAAAATTGGAGCTGAAGGTTTTCGATTCAGTTCTCATCGTTTTGTATAGTTCATTTGCAAATTGTTTTCCTATTTGTATACTTTTACTTTCCTTTTTTGTTGACTGAGTTAGACACAACAGAAAACAGCACGTAAGACGGTTCTAAAATCGTTGACACCCCTTTCACTGGACCCGGGAAGGTACTAAACATTTTTAGAGAAAATGCGTTTTTGCCAAATGTGCCTTTCTATTTCAGCCAGCCCAAGATGGCTTGACACGGGAGTCTGACGTCAGAGGGGCGGCGATGTACAGGAAATGAGAAACTATTTAAAGATCCCTATTGTGTGCATTATATGAGCTCGCTGTGGAAACTTAGGAAAATGATAAAGGGATAAATAAGTAGGAAATAATTTACTTATAATTCCACCATCTAGAGGTAGTCTCTGTTAGCATCTTGACACATTCCCCCACTTTTCTGTATCCGTTTTTAACGTGGTTGTAATGATAAACTTATGTACGATTGTACATCTTTCATTGTCTATGAATCCCAGTTTTTTTACTTAATATCACAACATACACATGTGCTCATATTTTTTAAAACTCTTTTTTTTTTTTTTAATTTTTTTTTCAACGTTTATTTATTTTTGGGACAGAGAGAGACAGAGCATGAACGGGGGAGGGGCAGAGAGAGAGGGAGACACAGAATCGGAAACAGGCTCCAGGCTCTGAGCCATCAGCCCAGAGCCTGACGCGGGGCTCGAACTCACGGACCGCGAGATCATGACCTGGCTGAAGTCGGACGCTTAACCGACTGCGCCACCCAGGCGCCCCTTTTAAAAACTCTTTAAGCCTTGTTTCATGGGAGCAACATGATATTCCCCTCATAAATATGCCATACTTTATTTCCTGTATTTTGAATTTTTAGATTTTTTTTTCATTATGATTCATTGTAATGCTGCTGTTAACATCTTTCTACAAAATATTTGTCTCAATCCCAGATTTTTGCCGTAGGATACATTCCAATAAGTAGAATTAATGGGTTAACTTGAAAAATGTATTTTTTGAAGCCCTTGCTTTCCAGAAAGATTTGCCAGTTTACCCTCCCAGCAACAGAGGTACAGGTGTGCTTATTTCCATCTGTTTGCCTATTGAGGATTTTTTTTAATGTTTTTATTTCTTACTTTTGAGAGAGAAGGAGAGAGAGTGAGCGCATGCTCTGCGCAAGCGGGGGAGGGTCAGAGAGTGAGGGAGACAGAGGATCCGAAGCAGGCTCCATGCTGACAGGAGAGCTCGATGCATGGCTTCAACTCATGAACCGTGAGATCATGACCTGAGCCAAAGTCAGATGCTTAACCCACTGAGCCACCCAGGTGCCCTAAGGATTTTTTAATTACACCCCAGAATGATCAATTTAACTAGACCTGTTACCAAGGCAAGTATAATAACAGCCATCCACCAAATTTTAGGAATTTGCTGTAAAATTGTGTTTTTGATGGAAACATAATTTTTTTTAAATAAGAGGGAAATTTGGTTTCAAGATAAAGATAAAAATAAAAAACTTTAGATCTGCCCTTAAGTTAAAGATTTGAGTATTTTTTTTAAATAAATGAAGTATATTTTATTTAGAGATCCTTTCTCCCAGAGTGTCTGGCTCTTGATATTACAGAAAGCTATAAGTTTTTACCAATAAGAGTTTGTTTCCAGGTCTGATTTGATATAATTGTCAGTGGCATAAACTTTCCAGCATCACGAATGTTGAAGTCTCTTATCCTACCTAGTATATAATACAGTCCAATTCTTGTCTCTGTGCTACAAACTGTGTTTTCAAATAACTGTTTTTCTTTCACTTCCGGTTTTCCATTGCCCATTCTCTTCCTTATCTAACTCTACCTAAACTAGGCAAAACCGAGGGCTTCTGTCCCGGAGAATGGTTGTGTCTCCAGAAATGAGATCAGTTTTAAATTCTCTTTTGCTAAGTGTAGCCAGCAGTAGTAAGTACAGCCCCTCAGATCTGTGTGTTGCTTCTTGCTTAGCAGGTGTTTTGCTCACTGACCGATGTGTGAAGCTGTGGAAATCTGACTTTGTGTTTGTATTAGATGAAAACACTAAATACCTGTTTTCACGGAGCATTTCTTTCCAAAGCTCTTCTTCCAATGACTTTTTAATCCTTTTTACTAAAGAAATTTAAAATAAAAAGAAACCTACTAACTATCTAACCTATTCTAAACTACTACTGTAGGAATGAAGTTTTGCTGATTGGAATGGTTTGTATAATAGGATGCCTTCATTTGGATCTACCCTCCAAACATGCCTGTGATTTTTATATGTGATGCTGTTTCCAATTTACTCTTGACCAATACACCCTACGGGTGTAAAATGTGTCCCTAGGTGCCCCTGCCTCTAAATATATTCCTTTGTCCCTGAGGAAAGGATCTAGTATAGTCTCTTAATTTGAAGAATACTTAAAATGTGGCTGTCAGGAATACTTTTTAAAAAGTTAAAAATATGACTCTCCCACAAAGAGAAAATGGGCATGTGTCAAAGATTTACTTAACCCATTAATGAGAGAACTAACAGAACGGTAAAGTTGCTTCTGAGACAATTCAAAAGACTGAATTCAATACACTGAAAGATAAAATGCTGGAATAAGATTACGAAATTAGATTAAAAAAAAAAAAACAAAACAGTTAATGGCTCACAGGGCGATAAAATTTTAACCATAATCTTTTTATACTAGACAGAAGTTATTTGTATTTCTCCCAGACAAAAACCCTAAAAATTAACATGTAACTTACCACAATCTGGGTCCTTATCAATGGTAAATGAAAGTGAGACAAAGGAATATCTCCCTTGAGAATTAAGTACACCTTGCATGGGCCTTTTCAACAATGCTCCAGTAGGACAATGAGACAGCACACAGTCATGCTTTGCCTATTTCCAAGTGTTGGATATTTTCTTGACGGTGCTTTCTACTAATTCTTTGAGTAATCTTTGTACTCTGGGAATCAAAATGACCACAAGTAACAACTTTTCTGGTTTCCTTTAATAGACAGTACACAGAGATCAGTCAACTGGACAGTACAGATGGAAACCGGTTGGAAGAAAGCCTGAAGAGTAGAGAGCAGAGGCTCTTTTGGCACGAAGATTCAAAGCCTGGAACATTAGTCTGAACTGCACTTGGACCTCTTGACCAAGCACCGCGTTCTCACACTAGTGTGCCTTGCAAAATGTGTTCGTCTTCCCAGAAAGCTATTTGGCTTTAGAAAGCTAAAAGCATCAAAGGTTGAAGAGAGGACTCTTGCTGCCCTGGAAGTGAATCACACTCTAAGGCCACGGAAAAGCCCCTGAACCACATGCCTTTCCAGCTCCGGGCACTAACCTAACAGCAAGGTGGAACCATTGCCAAGGACAGACTCAGCCTTTATCAGTAGCAAGCACTTGTTAAGGGAATAAAAGTTGTTGAAGGCAAACCGTAAAACTGAAAAGTGTGTTCAGGGTCTCCAGTAGGAAGGAAGGTTGGGAAATTTCAGAGCACTGTTCAGCATGATGAGAAGAAGAACAACGAGGAGCTCCTCAGTCATTGCTCACCATCAGAAAGTTTGGAGTTGTGAGCCTGCGAAGAATGACATGGTATTTCTACATGGACGTCAACAATTGAGACAGTATTGGAAAATTACTTGAAGAGAAGCTGGATTTTCATGAAGTTCTGAATGAGTGTAAATGTTTTTAGGATATTATAAAGAGTGATGGTTTTCATAAGCACCATAAAATGGGTTCCGGAAAGACTTACTGCCGGAGCATCCTGTAATATAACTTTATGGTAGCAGATTGGGGAAAACACAGCAGCCCACTGAATAATTGACAAACTCTGCTTGGAGAATTTTCTAAGGTCCAATATTATTGGGCTCCTTTTTTCTTTCTACACCAGTGGCCTGATGGGTTATTATTCAGGCTGGTAACTCTCCAATTTGGTTGTCATTTGAAATGGCAGACCTGACATGGAGAGTTTTTATAATCAAGAGTTTGAAAAACTATTTTAAGGTAATACAACACAAAGAACCCAAAACAAAACAAAAGCCACATCATTTTAGATGAATTGCGTGCCTTAAAATGGTGAACATTAGGAAAGTAAGCATATTGTCCAGATCCCACAGAGGGTTCTAAGTCACCAAGTGACAAAAACAAGATTAGTCATTAAAAAGGAAAAAACAAAAGCAAAACAAAACAAAAAACAACAAAAAACAAAAAAAAACAAAAAACTCCAAGCTGCAGATTTAATTATGAGGCTAAAACTACCTCATACTTCACTTGGAAGAACTAATTAGCTATGGTTTATGGTAGGGTTTTTAAAAAAAAAAAATTCCATATTCTAGATTGATCTTTTTTGTCATCTTCACTCTGCTTCAATATTCCATAAAAGGTGCTCCCCACCCCCCTTTTATACAGGTTTCATGTTCCTATTGTGAAGAGAGAAGTTTCTGAACAACTTTTTTGGAACATTTTCTATCTATATTCCAAAGCATGTAATATATACATAAAGATGATTTGTTAAACTGGTCCTTAGTCATTTGTATCATTAAAAATGAAGTTTGGGGAACGAATTTGGAGCAAAACAGAAGACATGCAGATAAATAATAACTTATTCCTTTTTGCATATTTGTATAGCCTTCTAGAAACAGAAATACTTTTGCATATTCTTTTACTGTTCTGACTTTTTAAGACCTATTATTTTTTTACATAGGTCAATAAACTGAAGGTGTGCTACTGAAAATGTTTACGTATTCTTCCATTATATTCAGGGCTCATCCAAAGCAGTTTGAAGTGTTCTACTTCATGTAATCCTCTTGGACAAGATTGCAGATTTTTAGTTGTAGTATTACCGTATTTTACTGACGCCAAGGTGCCCATTTTTTCACATTTACATCCTTGAAATCAGGATGCATCTTTTGACTGATGGCATGCTCTAAAGGAATTGGCAGTGTTTTTTTCTTTCTTAGCGCTACATAAAATGATGCTGTGTCTCACAATAAAGTTGTCTTAGAACTGATGAAATACGGTAGTTTATTGCCTCGCTGAGGATGACAGATGTGAATTTTTAGGCTTCCCGATCTTGCGAATGTTGTTTGTTTGTAACAAGCCCTTCATCCTAGTTTTGCAGAGTCGCAAACTGGTCTTTTAAATTCAGGAAAATGTTTCATCTGGCATGTATTTGTCCTGCACAATGGGGAGAAGGGAATGGGAAATGAAACGTAGGAAGACCTTAATACTTCCGTGCAAGTATCTTAAATGGAAATAGCCTTCTGTTGAAGAAATGGAATGCTCAGAACTGCAAGTGGGCCTGGAAAGAACGCGTGGAACTTGGTTCCCAAATATTTAAAGAAGGTAAAGAAATAGAAGCACCGGGGGCTTGCTGTATGATTTTTTTTTTACCCGCTATCTTTTTAGGAAAACCTCTCTCAACTGCATTTTTGGTATATTTATTAATAACCAAAACATGACAGAGGCAAATTGTTCAACATCACACATCAATCTGCTTCATATTACGGTGTATCATATAGTCATGATAAAAATTTGAAGTTCAAACACAAAGCAAATATATAACATGAGAACATAATCGCCCCTGGGAGCCTAACATTTCAGATGTAAGAACTGATTTTTTTTTCAGACTGGTTAATTTATATTAGTTCAGGTTTTCTTCTATGTATATAGTAATTTTTTTAATACAGCATCATATTACAAGTACAGTTTACAACTTGTTTCTTCCCTGAACATACCTTGGGCTTCTCTGTATCAGTATATATTTTGATCTACCTCATAAAAATGTATATTTTACAAGGTGGATTTTTTAAATTGCCTCACCTTCTTTGCTGTTTATATTTTTTTTCTATATTTCAGAAAATTCTTCAAAATCTTTCTTGTACTCATAAAAGCTTAATGTTATAAGCAATAAAGATTCCAGAATTGTCTCAAACTATTAAGTTTGGCCTGTTCTTAGGAACAAAGGTTCAGACTAAAGAGTTCCTTCAAATGTTAGTCCTTAAGAGCATTCAGAAGTGGAATAATGACTATTGTCAGGACTGTAGACAAATTTGGATTATTTTCTAGAGTAGTTATTTTCAAAGGACCAGTTGTGAAAGTCAAGTTTTTAAAATTTTGAACTATTGTGGGCCTATAGTCTTGTGAAGGAAAATAAAAATGAATTACTAAGGAAAAAAGTTAATTGAAAAAATGAATTCCTAGAGATGTGGAAAAAAATAGATCCAAAAATACACATTCCTCCTGCTCGTTATTACATTCATCAGACAAAACGATTCTGTCAAGTTGCAGGGCACCTGGGTGGCTCAGTTAAGCATCTGACTCTTGATTTCAGCTCAGGTCATGATATCATGGTTGGTTAAGATCTGAGCTGTTCGCTCAGAGCCTGCTTGGGATTCTCTCCCTCTCCTCCCCTGCTCGCTCTCTCTCTCTCTCTCTCTCTCTCTCAAAATAAATAAACATTAAAAAAAAAAAACTACTCTGTCAAGTTGCAATCACAGCTTCTAAACGCAGACTCATAAATTTCTGTACTTACCTTGATCTACATTCCAGGAACAGAGCTTCTTAACTACCCTTTTAAAAAATTACTTTAGAGAGAGACAGTGAGAGTGGAAGGGGCGCAGGGAGAGAGAAAATCCCAAGCAAACTCCATGCTCAGCGTGGAGCTGGATGCAGGACTCAAGCCTACAACCCTGGAATCATGACCTGAGCCGAAATCAAGGGCTGGATGCTCAACCGACCGAGCCACCCAGGCGCCCCACTACCTACTTTTTTAATTGAAGTATAGTTAATCTACAGTGTTTTGTTAGTTTCAGGTGTACAATATGTTAACTCAGCAATTATATATGGTGACTCCGCATTCACCGTGGTAGATGTATCTAGACTACCCTTTGAGCACCATTAACCTGGAGTTCTGTCACGGGAGGTGCCCCATCCATTCACAGTCATAAGGAAAGTCATTCATTGCCCCCTGTTACCTCACAGGGCATGGGGATACAGTTCATTTTCAGTGAGAAAAAAGTTTTAACATATACACAGAGCCCAGAAAAGGATACAGAACTCGACTCCTCTTTCGGCTCAAAGTGTGTCAAGCCCCTTGTCTCCTGTGTTTCCCATGTTTCCTATTCTAGTCCAGTCCCCTCCTCTGGATCCTTATGGGACTTTTCTGCCTCCTCTCCACCCCCATTTTTGCGCCAACCCTGGAACAGCAGAAAGAAAAGCATGTTCTGCTGCAAAAAGGAGTTGACATTCATAGAATTCTAGTTCAATGTGTGCCAGGCTGGTGTGCTAAAATGCTTCGCATGTGTACCTACTGCTTTACTCCCCACAACAGCCCAGTGACTTGCTCTTATCTCCATGGCACTGAATTTGAAAATTGGGAAGGTCAAGTAATTTGTCAGAAGTCATGCAGCTCTTAAGAGAAAAGCAGGAGATAGATTTTGACTTGGCACACACTAAATCCTAACTACTGCAGCCTTGTTCCATGTACAATTTCTATACAGTCAGGGGAGCAAACAAGATTTTTAAAAAATATGTTAATGAAAATGGAGTGAACACATGCTAAGCTCAGCTGTTACTGGTTGTTTTGTTTTGTTTCGTTTTGTTTTGTTGTTTTTTTTCCATTACCAGTGGCAAAAAGGCAGAGGCAAGTCTCGGTCTGAACACAGATGAAGATAACCCTTCTCTGGGTTACTACCCAGGCTTGCAGCCTACTGGACTGCATTATTTATTGCTGTGTGAGCTCATCAGTGGACCAAGTACATTTGTTAAATTCTTTTCAAGTCAATAAAATGTCTCACACCAGTGAATATACTTGTTACAATCACAGGTAACCATAATGAACTAAATATTGATCAGTAGCACTGAAAATATCTATTGATCTTTCCCCATTTCTGATGGTTCAGGACAGGATGATAATAAGAAGTTTATATGCTCTTCTAACATAACCCCAAGGACTCCTCTCTGAATAGACCTCTATCAGCTGTATGTGCTTGTGAGTTTTTACTCTTGATTCTCCTTGGAAAGAGCGAATCAGGGATTAGTCTCCTCTTAGAATCTGAGCCCAGTCCCAAAAAATCCTTCTAATACTTCCAACCTCTTCTGCTTTTGATGATTCATGAATGTATCTCCCTGCAAAAGAAAATAGGAAATATGCAACAAGATTTATTTTGGCAATACTTAGCTGATTCTTTTAACATTTATCTATCTTCTATCTATCTATCTATCTATATGTCTATCTCTTTGAGAGAGAGAAAGCACAAGCAGGGAAGGGGCAGAGGGAGAAAGAGAGAGAGGGAGAGGGAGATGGAGAGAATCTTAAGCAGGCTCCAAGCCCAGCACAGAGCCCAACATGGGGCTCCATACCATGACCATGAGATCATGACTTGAACCAAAATCAGGGGTTGGACAGTTAACCAACTGAGCCACCGAGGCACTCCAATACTTAGCGGATTCTTAACGTTAGCACACACACAAACACGTTTTCTCCCTTTTGTTTTGCTTTTGAATAATAGCCGTCTTGACGATAAGGGTGTATTGGGACCAGGGAAATGGGGGTGGAAGCTGACCTAACTGCTGAGTTTTAGATAATGATCTCTCCTTAAATGCTTGTTACACTTATGAAGTCCCAAAGGTTTAAAAGTTCTGTGATTTTCAACTGGGGCTGTACCACCTACTTCGGGGCATTTGGAAATGTGTTGCTACACTTTGGATCCCCCCATGATTTGGAAATACTACTGGCATTTAGGGACTATGGACATTAAACAGCTATAAGATATGGGATGGTCCCACACAACAAACAGTGGTTCTATCCAAACCGCCCAAAGTGACCCCATTGAGAAACCCTGGGCATCTCACCTGGGAAAAGGTGTTAAATCCACTTTATGGGTGCTGCCTTCCAGTATTCCAGCAGAGATGTCTCATTTTGAAGAGTCCAAAGGGAAAAGTATAGGAGATGATTGTTTCTTGACAGTGGGGGAGAGATGGTATGTGATTTGAAAAACCATGCATGCAGCAAATATTAGAACATCAACTATATGTCAGTCATTGTCCTAGGCGGTGAGGATAGAATGTTTTCCTGAAGCCAACAGTCCAATCAAGGAGGGAGAAACAGAAGTGACCAATGTGAGTAACTTGTCTTATGAAAGCCAAGTGTGGTGAGAAAAGAAAGGATGTAGAAAATACCAAACGTTGCTGGGACATAGTGGGGCGTTTGGGGCAGTGATGCTTCAGCCCAGACATGGGGGTTGGTAAGAGAAGGTCCAGTTAAACACGAAGGGAAAGAAGCTCTTCCAGGCTTAAGAGAATATCATCATGGCATTTGCCAAAGTCCTAAAGCTAAAACCAGCTTAGTTAGTTTCAGAACTTAAAGAATAGGAGGATGTATTCCAGGATTGAAGAAACAGGAAAGTAGAAAGAACGCTGCCATTTTTGAGCTCTTGCTATAGTCCCAACAATCGGGCTAAGTGCTGTCATTTGATTTAATCCTTCCTACAACTCTGTGACAAAGGTGGTCTTATCCCAGAAAAGAATGTAAAGAAAGCGGCTCAGAAAGGTTACCTCTGACCTCAGTTACATGGCCACGCAGTAAGTAAGTTGTAAAACCAAAATGCAAACCTGTTTGTCTGAGTCCAGACCTCATGTTCTTTATTAACCACGACATTATAAAAAGTAATTGCTCATCAAGCACCTCTCTCAAATGGAAACCAACGAAAATGAAAAGACGAAGGAACAAACAAAAGAGCTGCCCTAGAAGGAAAAAGGAGCAAAGGTCAAGGGCAGGGGTGGACATCTGATCAGCGAGAAGAAAACGGCCAAAAAGACAGTCCAGGGCAGGCTGCAGTGTGGGTTTTCAAGATAAGTGCTTCAGACACTTCTGATTGGAATGTAGCTTCAAGATGCTGCTAATGAATGGCCAACGGGGGGAAAATTCTCTTCGCAAAAAGATGGAGGAAAAGAGCCGATGCATTTGAGGAATGTACTCAAAAGGTGGTGAACAGTGAATGAAACTAGCCAGTGCCGCCTATCACCCTCGCTCCCTTGCAAAACGAATGCTTAACTTTCCCTAGAAAACCATGTTTTACGTTGTCCTCTCCTCATTTCGAAAGAGATTGGCTCCATAAGGAGATTAAAGACTGGGAAGTCAGAGTGAGAAAGATCTCATCAGGCAAATTTCCCAGAGACTGGGAAGGGCATTCTCCACAGCCCTTCAATTATCAGAAGATACTGGGTGTCAGGGTAGACATCACCATCTTCATAAAGCAGTGGTTAAGTGCATGGGCTTTGAAGTCAAGCAGACCTGGAGACAGGCGGCGGGCTTGAAATCAATCCCAGCCTCAGCACTTACTGGTCGTATGATCTAGACTAAGTTTTCTAACCTCCCTGGCCTCAGTTTCCCCGCTAGTACCCATCACACAAGGATATTTGTGGGCTGAACAAGATATTGCATGTAAACGGAGAGGTATAACATCTAGTCTCTGGCAGGTGCTTTGTGAGATACATTATTTCCTGGAAGAAAAAGGTGATGTTTAACTTTACATGAGATCTAGAAAGTTGGGGTTTCTGAGGATTGGTACTGCCTTCGTTTAGCCACTGAAATGACAACACTCTTGAAAATATTCATCATTGTGGAGAGCCGATTACATCTCAGGCACTGTCAGGGACCTACTGGAAGACTGGAATATTTTTTTCCTGTTGAATCCTTACAGCAAATTTGCAAATGTTAATCCCAAACAAAAGCTCAGGGAGGTTAAGTGCTTTACCCAAATTGCATATGTAGAAGGTACCCAGGCCCTAGACTGCAATTCACAAATGCATAGAACAGAACCTTTGCAAAGAATGAATGTGCGTCACTCTGGAAGCTGCCATGGATGGAGGAGGCACCAAGGCTTATTTAACCCACGGAGTCAAGCTGAGTAAGGTGTTTTCCAGACCTGG